CTTTCTCATAGCTTAGCTCTTGTAAGGATGCTAGGTAGATAATTCTCTTCCGATCAAAGGTTATTCTGTTTCTTAACCCTGTGGGCAGAAGCACATCAAAGGAAACACTTCCCTAGCAATGAAAATTGGAGTATAACTGTTTCCTTTTCATATCTGTTACCTAGTCACTATTGACAGGGTCCTTATCATATGAATCCAGCATCCTCCTTTGCTAGATGCTAAAGGAGCAATCATAAATATCAGACTAAGCTTGCCTTCAGAAAGCTTACAGTCTGATTATGTAAGTCTTTGAGTAGGTAATGAGTATTTGTAAAGGCAGTTGAGTTAAATGTAAAAGAATCCTCTTTCCCTACATTACCCCAGTAGAGATACATTTCTACAGTGTCCCCCTATTATCCTAACCCCATCCCCAAATTGTGCCAAAGCTAAAGTTACATAGGAACTCCCCACTCCCTCGTTCTCCCCACACACTCCTTATTCAAGCCCAGTTATATTGTGTTCAGGTAGTCTGGATTTAGATCACCTGAGCTCTGACTTCAGGAGAATCCTATTTCTGTACTTTTCTACATTTCATTTTATTATCTTTCTATCTCTAGACACAGGATAGTTTTGAAGATTAAGTAGATGACATAATTTACATTAGCCACTACCTGCCATAAGATTTTCAAATAATAGTTATTGCTAACAGACAAAGGTATGAAAAAGAGCAAGAATGAATGAATGAAGACAAAAAAAGAGGAGTGCTTGTAATAAGCATATCACTTTAAATATTAATTTTTGCCCTACTGCCCATCAACTGGAGACTGGATAAAGAAGATGTGGGGTTTTTAAAAATATAAAATGGAGCACAATTCAGCCATAAAGAATGAGAAACTAGAGACATTTATAGCTAAATGGATGCACATTAAGGCCATACTCTTAAGTGAAATAAATAGGACACACATGTGTAAATACTGAATAGTTTCTCTGGTGTGAAAAGTTAAAAGTGTAAATAAGAATCAAAGTGTATAATTGATAATGTGAAATAGGAAGAAAAAGTCTAAAGGAACAGGGGAAGTGGGAGGGGTAGGGGAAAGGAAAGAAAGAAAAAGAAAAAATATGAGAAAAGACAAAAATGGAAACAAAGGGAAGGAGGGGGGTGAAGGGAGGGCAAAGGAAGGGAAAAAAATAAGAACCAAGATACTCATGTAAAGGTACAAGATCCCAATATCCCAATGATGAATGTAACTGTATTGTAACCCTAAAATGTACCAATAAACTTAATGAAAAAATATTAATTTTTATGTTCATTGCATCATGTTCACAGTAGCCAAGATATGGAATAAGTCTAAGTGTCCGTGAATAGATGAGTGGATAAAGAGAATCTGGCACAATTACATAATGGAATACTATTCTGCCATAACAGAAGGAAAAGAAAATCTTGCGGTGCATTGTGGCACATGTCTTTAATCCCAAAGACTTGGGAGTCTGAGGCAAGAGGATCACAAATTCAAGTTCAAGGCTAACCTGGGTAACTTAGCAAGACCTTGAGACAAAAAAAGGCCTGAGGATGTCACAAAGTGGTAGAGCACCCCTAACTTTGATTCCTACTATTACAAAAAGGAGGAGGAGGAGGAGGAGAAAGGAAAAAAGAAAACAAAATAAAATGGACAGATCTGGAAGATATGCTAAATTATCCAGATACAGAAAAATAAATGTCTCATAACCTTACACATGTATAATCTAAAAAAAGTTGATCTCATAGAAATATAGAGTAGGTTGTATGGTTACCAGAGGCTGGAGTAGATTAGCGTGGAAGGTTATGGAGATCTTGATCAAAAAATAACAGACAGAGAATAGGAAGTTGGGAGATAGATCTTTCTCACATAGGAAAGGGAGTTATCATTTACCAACTCCCTACAAGGAATGAAATCATTATATACTGCAAACATGTACTATTAAAAAAGAAGGAAATAATTTCAAGAAATCTATTGTACAACATGGTGACTATAGTTAATAACAGTGTGTTATATATTGTATTCTAGAAAAAGCTGTGAGTAGATTTTAAGTGTTCTCACCACAAAAATAAAAAGATAAGTATATGAGGTAATGAGTCTTCTAAGTAGCTCAAACTGAGTCCTTCCACAGTAACCACCATTTATCAACATATTGTGTTTTACACAAGAAATACACACAATCTTTATTTCTCCATCAAGATAAGTAAGTAATTTTGAGAATTCTTCTTCAAATAAGATTTCCAGAATTACCTTTTGTTAATTTTAAAGAAATTAAATCTTTCACTTTTGCTGATGCACAGACTGGTTGGTATTTATACTGAAAAAAATGAGAGCATCCAAGTTGGTTTCTCCTGCGTTCCTCTTCTGCTCAATTGGTCTTTGCCTTTTTCTAATACTGTAGTGAAAAAATAATTCAAAAACTGAGTAATAGTTCTAAGCAGTGGAAACACTATAAATTTAACTTAGCTAAAATGAACATAATACGCAAATGTGCTATATAATTAAATTACATAACATTTTGATTATGCATATAATATATAAAATATATATAATATTATCTATAATACAAAATAGAGAAGTGAAACTACCCAATATCAAACCCTGAAACTTCTTATTGAACTTACAGCTGCTCAGCTGCTGCTACCACAGTCTAATATTGTAAATGACAGGATTTATTATTTTAGACTCCTTCTTTTTTGTTGTTGTTTTTTTGTTTGTTTTTTGAGGCATGGTCTCCCTATGTAGCCCAGGCTGGCCTTGAACTTACTGTGATCCTCCTGCCTCAGCCTCCCAGGTGCTGGGATAACAGGTGTGCGCCACCATACCCAGCAGGACTCCTTCTTGATACCAAGAAACTCCTTAATTGTGAAAGAGATGTCTGAGTAATAGAATTTTTTAGAAAGAGACTATAACCTATCCTGGGTGAATTCCTCACCCCTAAGAAGCTTGTTCACTTGTTTATTATTTTCTTTCTTTTTTTGTTGTTTGTTTTAAATTTTAATTTGTATTTTGTTACTACCCTTTTGCAGTATGTAATGATTACATTTCTTATGGGGAGCTGGCAGATGTATGTAACACATCAATTCTTTTTTGAGCCCTTCTTCTCCCCTCACTCCCTGCTCCTTCCTTCTCTTGGTTCTCTTCCCTTTTACAAAAGGTTTATTTCCCTACTTCATATTATGTACTTTTACTTTGCCTTATAATTTATTTATACTTTGGGTTTCTCATATAGGAGAAACCATGTGATGTTTAAGCTTGTGAGTCTGATTTATTTCATTAACATTATGGTCTAAAAGTTCACTTTTTAGGTAGTAGAGAGTAGCTCCTTGTCCCTTACAACTCTCAAGAATATGCTACTGGAGTGATGCTATGTCTCCCGTATCCATTAAGTCCATGATTTCCAGACAATCTTCAAAGCTCTTGTTTCATATCAATTAAAAAGCGCTTCTTGCAAACCTATTTAAATATCAGACATAGCGTTCAAGGTTGTGGAAACATATAAAATGCCAGCACTATCTAATTCTCAAAGAGCCCCATAGCCTTATTCATTTAAGAAAAGGAGCAATCTTACTCAGCTATGTAATACTAGTATCTCCTGCTAGAAATCAGATTGAGTGGTGAGATATAGCAAGCTGTCTGAGGATACAAGGCTGTAACTGTTCAAATATTAAATGAGCAGCATGGACAGAAAATGCTTAAGGAATTAAAAAAAAATAAAAAGAAAGCATATGATTGAACATGTAGACCAGGAGAATTTTCTGAAACCATTCATCTATTAAGTTTAAGGCTTATGTCAGCCTGAAACAAATTAGTTTTGTTATTGTTTTTCCAGAAAGTGTTCTGGGAACATGGTGTTTCCCATCACTATAGTTATTTTATCTACATGCACTAAATATGGAAGCTGTAAAGATACAATAACAAACCTTGTTTGCATGCCTATATGTCAAGAAATATCAGCAGGATTTTGAAGCAACATACATTTTTTGCAGTGGATAACATATACTTTGTGAAGGTAATAGTTGTCATTTATAATTGCCAGGTAACATTTTGATCTGTGGCAATCAAGCCAGTAGATAAACTGATCCTAGTTGCAGATATCTGGTGCAAAGTAATAACTTTGCTTCAGGTTAAATTAGGGTCATGAATCCTAGGCTCAGTTTCATTTGACAGAAATAGGGGACATTTTTGTTCCCCAAATATACTCAAGAACACCTAATTTTGTGGTGATTCCTAATCATGAGAATGGCTTGATGAAAATGTAGAGTTCTAAGCTATAGCCTCACAGATTCAGCCCTAGCAAGTTCAGGAACTATCCTGCAATGTCGTGAATAATCAGAGGGTGCAGATGGTCTACAGAAATCATCACCGATCTTCAAAACAGAGAACAGGACAAAAGGAAAAATAACTCAGCTTGAGGAGGACCCACTGAGATGAACATAGTAAAATTCCTTGGAGAGGAATTTTCCACAATGAGCAAATCAGAACCCATAAATTACTCTCATCCTTGTCAATTTTTGGTTTCAGCTGTGGACTTTGCTGTCCCTTGTGAGTCTTGGCAGTTTGAATTCTTGGCTTTGGTTTTTCCAATATTATACATTGCTTGTTGCACTAAAGTGCAGTGGTTTTCCTTAGACCTATTAATTATCTAACTCTCCAGACACTAACTAAATGCCTACAATTGTATTCAACTCTGACACAAACTTCCTGGTCTTATCTTCGATACCACAGATTAAGGGCTCAGTCTTACAAAACTTCAGATTCTGGGTACAAGGTAAATTCTTTTTACTGTGGTTTCCACGCCTGCTACCTGATAGTTTCTTTGTTCCCTTTTCAATGAAACACATTTAAAAGAACCCAAGAGAAGATTTATTGTCAAAGAATGACAGGAATTACACTGACTCATAAATACTAAAATTTGTACTATTTTTTAAATGCAAAAATTTTTATCTCTATTTCTCCTTTAAGAGTGAAAAACAATTTTAAATTTATCAACTATACTTTCTAAGATCTACAGGTGTTTATAATCTAGGAAAATGTTATCAGTTTTACCAAACAGTAATTTTACAGGAGCAGGAATTTTCAATTTTTATTGTTGTAAAATATACATACAATTTACCATCTTAACTATTTCTAAAATTTTTTATTAGAACATGTTTGCAACAGTTCAAAGATGTTAAATACATTCATGTTGTTGTGCATCCATTTCCAAAATTCTTTCATCTTGCAAAACTGAACATCTACATCCCTTAACAATAATTCCAATCTCCCCTCCTTCTAGTAGCAAACTATCTCTCTACCATCTGTCTCTGTGTATTTCATGTAAGGGGTTGGCTTATTTGACTTAGTGTGATGTCTTCATGACTTATCTATGTTGTAAAATATGTCAGAATTTGCTTCCTTGTTAAAACTAAACAATACTCCATTATATGTAAGGACCATATTTTGCTTGTCCATTCATTCACCAATGGATACATTGGTTCACAGGAAGAAATTTTTAACCATTTGGTTCACCATTATAACCCTAGCACTTAGAAAAGTTCCTGGAGTGCATTGGGTGCTCAATGACTATTTGTTAAATGAATGATTAAATGTGTGGTCTTGATTATACTTATGTCTATGTCCACTTAATAAGTTGTTGATCTTGATGTGAGACTGTTTCTGGATCACCTATGTATTCTTTTCTCTTTCTCCACTTTATCTTTCTCATTTTTTGTTTTACTGTACCTTCTGTATCCATTCTATCAGCTTTTCCCAATTTTTTTCTTTTCTCTGTCTCCCAAGCAAAATCAATAAAACACTGAAACATTTATTCAGCAATGCTGGACAAAGGCAAGTTTCATCGATTCAGTAAACAGTACCTGAACAATTATGTTGTGCCGGCCTCTGCACCAGTACTGAGACCATTGTTCTGTTACCATCATCTACTGAATCTCAGTGTAGTGCCTCAGTTTCAGGCAAGCCTTTAAAATGCTGAGCATTACTTAAGTGAAATTCAGTGCTTATAAAGTATTTACCAGAACTGCTTAATTCAAGCAATACACATAGTAAATCTATTATACTGATAATACCCCTGAAGTTATGATGAAGCTTAATTTCTACATTTATCTAAATTAAAGTATCTTTGAAGAGCATTTTTCCACACTTATATAAACCAAAAATGTATCTGAAAGAAATCAACTTCAATCTCAGGTCAAATGAGGTTGGGCACTTTCAGGAGGTTTGATGGTGGAGCAATTTGCAAAGCCTAAAGTTAGAAGTGATTGAGGTATATTATTCAATTTTTTTTGAAATTGCTTGCTGGCTAGATTCTAGGGTATTTTTGTTTCAGGTCTAACTGGATTTTATAAACACTCAGAGATGGGGATTTATAATGTCAACACTGACAGAACAGCAGCTCTATTGGGTCTGACCATTCAATCTTCAAACTGAATTTATTTTCCCTCACTTTTTTATACCTTTTCATACTATAACACACACACACACACACACACACACACACACACACACGCAGCAGGTCTCCTGTCTTCCTTTACTATACCTAGAAATATTATTTTATGCTATGTCTTTTTTCTCTAAAAAAAAAATACCCAATCCAAGATCTCTGTGCTTTTCATCTTTTCAGATCCCTAAATTTCTTGAGCAAGATCTGTCTTCATCTAAGCACAGCTAACAAAAATTAATCTGCATTCCTTACGCCAGCACTCATGCCCTGGTGGAGCTGAGATTGGCTGTGGCAGGCCTATAGATTTACAGCTGCTGCAAGGAAAGCACTTCATAGCTCATCAGTGTTTTAAAGCAATAGAACTGCATGAAATACAGAAGAAAGCCTCAGACTTGAGAGCAGTCACAGTCTGAAGCTCAAACAGCAACAAAATCAGACAGGCCAGTGTTGAATTATGTTTGATAACAATTTACCATCTGTGTAATCAGCTCAGTAGGTGTCTACATTAAGCTATAATAGGATCCCCAAAGTGCCTTTCCTGTCCCCCAAATATTGCTCTTTCATATTGTCATTTTATAAAATTCTTCTCTCTTACTTAATCTGAAATTTGCATCATCCCTTTTATTCTATAAAAGTATTTATTTGCTTAGGAGTACTATTAAGATATATCAAAGGACTGGAGGAGGTAGAAGAAAAATTCTCTTCCTATATTAGCATACATAATTATGTAAATTGTCCCATCACCTTCAACACATCACAGATCTTAGAGAGACTGAGACACCAGGATACTAAGAAGCTCACACAGGGTAAGTATTTGATAATTCCAATATGCAGACATTTTCCTTATTAGTCACTTTTCCTTGTTTCCTATAGTGCAGTAAATTTGTAATTCAATGATAAGTAATGTTGCATGAAAAATTCTTCTCTTACAAGCAGTCGGGGTAAAGGAAATTCAACTTAACCAGGGCTGAAATTGAGCTACTTAAAAAGCTGAATTTTGTCTCTGTGTGGGCTCTGTTGTCTCTGTTTCTGGATTACTATTAAGGAGTAAATCTCAGGAGTCCTAACTGAAGTCTTGGATTTTGATTTCTGAAATCCATTTTTTGTCTTCCAAATACCACAAAGCAGACAAAGCTGTGTCAGACTTTTCCGTCTTTGCCATCAGTTAAAAATTGACCAATGTCTTGGGAAAAGCAGCTCAGAAAATTGCACTCATTCACTCACTCACTTTACTTCTTTTCTTTCCAGCAATTTGACCCTGAAGTCCTTAGTGGCTTGCAATCTCAGTGACATCTTCAGAGAGGGAGAGGCGGCAGGAGAGGGAGAGGGACAGGAGAGAAAGAATGATTCAATCTAGCTGTTCACTTTTTTAGTTCTTCTTGGAGGAAGACCTGGTTGGCTGTGCACTGGTCTGCTCCAGCTAAAAGCAGGCATCTTGGTGAGGTTTTAGAATTGAACCAGCATACCAAGAAAGAGGTCCTGGAAAAGGAAATTCAGAATATATTTTCATCTCTTTTTGTTTTGCTTTTGTTTTGTCTTGTTTTACCTGGGGGAGTTGCTTTTCTATGAATTGACTACCATTTCCTTACCTTCCTCCTTATAATTCCACAACACCCTGAGGGCCAATACTGCAGAAACAATATGGCTGCTTTGACACCTCCTTGGCAGTGATGAGTTATTGCTCTTTTATTTCACATCTGTCATTCATCTCTGTTGTGTGGCCTCTGGGATTCTCATTGAAGAAATCTATAAAGAAATACATGTTGTTCTTATGATTTTTAACAACTAAATTTATATAAGTAGTAATTCTCCCACAAGCTTGGAAAAAATTTCAAACCATAGGCTTGGAGAACATGTAGTCCAAGCTCTCATGAAGAAGCCAACTGCCCGAAGTCCCACCCTACTTGGTAGAAAGAATAGTAGGTATCTGCTCCCCATCCAATGTTTTTTCAACAATACTCTGTTGCTTGCAATAACTATATCACTTCATGGAAAGCTTCTAGTTGATTGATAACTCTTGGGTTCTATATTATTAATGGTCTTCTGGGCAGGGTGGGGGGGCTTTTGTGTCAATCAATCTTATTCCATCCCATCACGTAAACTTTCTCTATGAGGTACTATTCTATGGTATCAGAAGATGATTGGATTTTCAGGCTTACATATTAATGTGTAAATGAGACTGTTGTTTTAAGTCAGTTCTCCATGAAACAAATGTTCACACATAGGAAGTTTATTAGGAATGTTTATAGAGGAATGTTGGGTTAGGGAGAGGGAAGATTTAATCTAGATGAGTCACAACTATGACGCACCTGATTACAAAGTACTCTGAGATGGAGATGGACTCCTTACAGCACCCTCATCAGGGCATGGGGGTCACACATTTATGTGCTCCCTGGATAAACCTGACAGCCACTTGACACAGCCTGACTCCAAGAAAAGGTGTGACTTAGGGCAAGATGTCTCTCTTTGGCAAAGGGCATTTACCAGAAAGGAACTCAAATGAGAGCCATGAGATGGTGTCTCCTATGCCTCATTCCTGGAAGGAAACCTGTTTAGCAAAACACAGTGTTCAATACAGATACTAAATTAAACCAGATTTTATAACAAGTAAAAATTAAAAGGGAATAAATTGCAATAAAAGGAAATAAACTAAAATGTATCTTTTTCTGTCCATCTGGAAGGTTTTTTGAAAAAATAAACAGCAGATAATAGTAGTCTAGAAATGAAATAACCTAATGGTTTTATTCATAAAGAATAAAAACCAAAGCATTAAGAAGACATGCAAATTTCACATTCATTCTGTCTCTTAGGAAAGGATGAAGATTACTAGAGTTCAGGTAATTACTTTCTAAAGAGTAGTTTTATTATTCTTGTGTTTCTTATGCAAGTTTTACTTATAGGCTCAGTAAAATAATTATCTTGAAGTAAAAGGAACTAAAGAGCACACATTACCTTCTGGCTATATATTTTACCATGTTTGGAGCAGAATAAATATTAATTTAACATGAATGGTCACTTCATAGTCAAAAAAGAATGTTTGTAGTTGCTTTGGCAATAATTTCAAGAATCCATTAGTATATTTAATGAAAAGAATTAATGTAATTCAACAGAAGATTTATGTTTAAGGGCAGTAATTTTTAAGGGCAGTATCAAGCACATGATTCTGAAATTGTCAAATTTCAAATTTTTGAAGATGTAATTTAAATGATAAATGAGATAATTTTTTTTTTAGAGATCGAAAAACAAAACAAACACCTTTATTTTGCTGAATCCTTGATCATTCTATGAGGCAAATTTTTGGAAAATGTTTCACCTATACAATTTTTAACTTTCTTCATTCCAGCTAAAATGAAAGTGAAAGTAAGTTTTACTGCCATATTGACATTCTAAAGCATATTTCCTATTAGCTTTTAAATTACATTCAGTTGGGTGTGAGTGAGTGTGTCATTGTTCTTAGAAGTCAATATGAACAATTTATGTATTTGAGGTCATAACATTCTTAAACCAAAAGGAGAAAAAATATTTCTATGTGGCAAAATCAAGAAATTACGGATTGATTTGAAGGGATGAAAATAAGTTTATGAATCTATAACTCCTTTAACCTTCCAAAAAATCCTTATAATCCAGAAACAAATGTTGGTGAGTAGAAGGCCATGAGACTATCTGATCTTATTTTTCAAATTCTAATTAGTATATATAGTTAGTATATATACATATAGTAATTTTATATGCTAAATATATGTACTATTTATATCTAGTATATGTATTTGTATGATGTACTTTAAGGAATATCTAAAAATTATAAGTGATCTCAAATATCTTTCCCCAAACAGGCTCCCAACATTTTTTTTTCCTCCTTTCTTTCTTTCCAGTACTGAGGATCAAACTCAGGACCTTGCACTTGAGGGGCAGGCAAGGTGCCCCTGAGCTACATGCCCAGAATCAAAGTTTTTCTTTTCAATCTACCTCTTAAATTCCCCTGCACTGAGAATGCTTTGATCATTACACATGATACTTGGAAGGAAGCCCAGGCCTTGAGATAATTGTTATGCAGTTATTGTCCTGTACTCATTTGATGCTTAGACATTTATGCAGTTAAGTTAACACAGAGCAGTTTAGCAGATTATCTACTGGAGAGCTCTGAGGAAATGACAGCATGAGGAGGAAGGACTGTAAAATGATCAGCAGAGAGAGGATGGAGAGGTCAGTAGAGGGGGTTTGAATGTCCATGGCCAGGAGGTGTAGTCAAGCATTTAAAGACAGACTTCATGGATTTTGCTCACAGTTCTCCCTGAAATCAACTGTGTTAACTCACCCCCTACTTTCCAATATTCTCTCATGTAGTAACTTTCTCTGATTTACATCGTGGAGTCCTTTTTTCTTTTTAATACTTTTATATTTGAGGACATTAATATGCTTGTAGTTCTTTTCTCTTCTTAGCTCTGAAAACATTTACTTGCTCTGAAGCAAAGCCAAGAACCACAATAAAAAATAAAGAGTGAAAACACTGATACCTGTAAGCAAAATATTGGCTATCTATGCTTTACTATAAATACAATTTTTAAAAATATCGAGAGCAAGGAAGCAACTTGTTGTTACTATTTCCAAGCTAAGTATGTGGGCTTTATTCATTCATTCTTTATTTTAATTAATTGGTACATGTATACAGCACATCTTCATTCCTTTTTCACTCCCTTTTCCTCCCCTCCCCTCTCCTTCTATCTCTTGATCCCCTTCCCATTTGAAAGAGATATCTATCCTTACTTCCTATTACCTATCTTTTATTTTGTCTACTTATCTTTTGAATTTCTTATATAAGAGAAACCACACCATATTTAAATGTGTGTGTCTGATTTATTTTTCTCAGGTTATTGTCACAAGGAGGATCCATTTTCATTCATTCTTAAAACAGATGATTAGTGACTAACTGATATGATTATGTCTTCTTATCATTTTTGCAGTGTAAAATTTTGTGAAAAATTTCTTATGTGATTCCAATAATTACTCTCTTCATATTGCAATCCTTTGGTTCTAAATATTTGATAAAGCATGTATCTGAGCATTCATGATTTTTGAAGAAATGGAAAAAAATCTGTGATTAACCAGTCTGAAAGCTACAAGATCGGTTTTTAAAGTAATTATGGCTTTTATAAGATTATTTTTGTGAAGAAATCCATAAGTTTACATCTCAGTCTAGATATAGAGGACTTTCAGCAGTGATTATAGCATTCTTTGATAGGAGGTTTGTTGATTTGTTAGACGGTTATACAGAAACCAATCTGAGTGTTGATCTTGATATATTCTATTTAAATATTTTATTTGTATAATGTAGCTAATGAAAATAAAATTCTGAAGTCTATGCATACACAAATATAAATAAAATACAAATACAGATGTATAAAGATGTATATATGGAGTTACCTAGTTATGTAAATAATATAAAATAACAATTTTAATGAACATATCTCAATAATTTGAGTACTTATCTGTAGGTAGAGATAGCATCTAAACATAGATTTCTAACATGACTTTTCAAAGTACACTAAGATTTAAATCCTAGAAATAGAAATGCCTATGTTTATATATAGTATTGCTTCTTTTAGGCTTCATACATTTGAGTAGAAAAGGCTACTGTCTAAAGTTTTAAGAACTAAACTTCAGAGGCAGAGTAGAAGTTTGAATGTTCTGAGACTTAATATGAGCAATTTCCTTGCTCTTTTGGCTGCCTGGTAAATCATTTACTCCAGCAGGCAAAAATTTTCCTTTAAAAAAGCTTCTTTTTAAAAAAAAAAGCCCAAAATAGAGTTGGAATAGGAGCACTATGTACTTGCTCTGGATACAAGACTACCAAAATAGAAAAGCGGTTGGCTTTTTACTTAAGACCTAATAAGAAAATGAGGAGAATGTGCTTTAAGTGATAAAGAGATAGCCAAGAATCATTTTGGCAAAGTTGAAGTAAAGCTACAAATTATTGATTGGACAAAGTTTATACTTTGGAAGCATTGGAATTGTACAAGTGTACGTATTGTGCCTAGAGAACCTAGAAGGCAAAGTAACATTTTGTTCTGGAGTTGAACATTTCTCCCTACCCACTCCCCACCCCCAAACTGCAGCAGCAGGATCTGACAGTCCCATGTTCAAGTTACAAGCATCATAACCACACCTCTGCGTATTTTCCACACACCATGGAGACAAAAATGACTTTCAGAAGCAAAATCAAAACCAGGACACAGGGGTTACATAAAAAGGGAGGAAAATTATATATAGCTAGATTTTCCTCTTCATGTCTCAAAAGAACATTTATTTTCCTTTCCACTCTATGAATTCATAGACTTACCATTACTATAAATAGTATGTGTAATATGTTTACCTGCACACAAATATATCTATGTATATGATATTTCAAAAGTTCTTCACTTATTTTTATTTTCTATTATTTTTCTATATATACAGCACCTTATGGTGTGCTTTTTCTGGGCATCTTAACCACCAGAGTAACAGAACATAGAGTGAAAGACAGACATACTCTTACATAAGATACACACACACACACTGTATATATAGAGAGAGATATATCTTCTATATATATACATCTATATATATGCATATATATATCTTCTGAATATGGTCAGATAATGTAAACTCCAAGGGGTATTTCGTGATTTCAGACTAACTAGCCAAAAATGGATTGAGAGCTGGGAAGAGACTGCAATGATGTGCTTGCAAAGGCTTAATGGACCTGGAGC